TTAAGATTAATGGGAGATAATGACCAGCTGTTATGATATCTGGGTGTTAAAATTTTGTTAATTGCATTTCATTTAGAGGATTGTATTTAGAGCACTGTTAGGACTAGTTGCATGTGAATATGAAAATTTAGGAGTGATATGTAAATACATAAGAATTAAATTTCCCAAAGAAAATAAAATACTTGTTTTTACTATATTGATTGGATGTAATTACATGATCTAATTTGAAGTTGTTATGATGATATGCCAAGAGGATTTTCTTTCTTTTTTTGGCAAGATTGACTTTAATGGCCACAAATATTTTTGCAAGGGTTTGAAATGGAATGTCATGGAAGATTGTTGAAGCACTCTGAAAAATTTTAGCCTTTGCCAGTTTTCTTTTACATTTTTCCCGTGTTAGTTTCCTTGTAATTTTTAATGTCAGAGCAAGGCTATTTTACCTGACGTAATATTCAGATTATTCTTAGTTCCGGCATATTTTGTTTTGCTGATTTTCTTATTGTTCAAAAAAGGAATTATTTCATCATAAGGTTTGTGTTCTGTGATCTTACTACTCTCTGAAGAATTTTTAGGTGGCCTTTTGTTGTGGAGGCTTCCTCCACACTTCTGAAGGAAGCACATTTATCTGCTGGAGTCCAATTTTGCAAGATTATATTTCTGACTGTTTAAATATTTCGAACTTGTCCAGTTTATCATTTAAAGCTAAATTTTTTATCAGTTCCTTGTCATGTTTTGTAGTTTCAAAGCTTACTTTTATTAAATTTTTTGTGTAATTTGGACATGATTCTTACCTATTTTGTCCATGTTATGGTTTCCAATTCTGTCGAATTAACTTTCCAGTGCATATTAAAGGTATGCAGCGCCAACTTCTTGGTTTTTCTTAATAGCTTAACAAGCATTGATGCCCAATTCTTTTTCAAATTTAGAATCATCTTTTACATGTTTTGAAGTGAAGAAAACTTTTGGCTAGTGTTTTTCAAATTCTTTAATTTACATTTTTTTATTTCAATATAACTTCTCTTATCACTAACAATTTCTATCTTTTTCATTTTTTTATAGAAAAATGAGCTCAAATTTTTTGGGGAACTCTGGGCTAGTGCTTTGCCGCTGCGAACTACCTACTGTGTTGCTCGCATTGCACCAGCGACATAGCTACGGGTAGCGATTCTACAAGTGCTCATGGTGGGCAAACAGTCCGGACAGGCGCCAGTTCTTCAAGTGTGCAGACATTCTAACCTATTTCACTGTCCATAGCGATCGGGGCTCGACAATATCCTAACCGATCAATGTTGCTCGGGGTTCGACGACATCCCAACTGGAGAACGTTGCTTTAGACACGCCTCTTCTAATTTTTAAAATGAATATTATCATAATTTTAGTTGTAATTTTGTTATTTTTTTAATAGTTTTGTAGATTCTCACTCTTAAGTGAGGAGTATAACTTCTTTTTCTTTGAACAATTATGTAGTATTTTTTGGATTTTAATATGTTGAATGTGTTCCCATTAGATTACTATTTCAAACAACACCACTACACGAGGCCAAAATGGTCATTTTTCTTCAAACAACTGTAAATCAGTTGTTTTCAAATCGCACAAACCAAACAACTTAACATTTTATTCAATTTAGGGGAAGAATAGTCATTTCTCTACAAACAGTTGCAAATCGGTTGTTTTCCAAACGCTCAAACCAAACAACCAATTAGCTTATCTGGATCAGTTGTTGATCAACAGCTTATCAGAATAAGCTGCTTGTCTGGATAAGCTGCAGCTGCCGCAAACATACCCTAAATTTTGGATATTGTTTTTCGTAGACCAAGAATCCATTTTTTGCATAATTTATTCAGAGTCAATAGATCAAATAACGCTCAAAATTAGAGTTCTTAAAGTAGATTCTTATATTATAAGATTTTTTAGCTTTTGAGTTTTTTCTTAGTTTATTTTTTATTTATAAAAAATGTTTCAAATTATTTGAGGTGTTATATTATTATAAAGATTTTTTTAATTATTTTTTATGAAATTCTAAATGATTTAACCATCAATATTAATTTTTTCAAAGGTTCGTATTTCTAATTTTCTTTTTTAGAATTTCTTACAACATTTGCATTAAATTGAAGATAAATATCTGTTATAGCTTATTCTAAAATTCTTTTCTATTTTATAATATTCAGCCAAATTTGGACTTTTTTACTATATTCTTTAGTGAACTATGCTATGAAGAATCATAATTTTCCTTTTCTATTTCAACTAGTCATATTTGTGAATATATGTAATAAATTTTGCTTCTTTTTGCTTATGCGATTTATTTTCTTTATCATTCACAAATTTTTTTAATAATTTAGTTAGAGATAATCTTTCACTATATAATTTCTAGATAACTTCTTTGTCCATAACCCATTTAAAATGAAAGCTCATTGCTGATTGTGTCAGAGAATAATCATCTTAAAATAGAACTAAAATCCGATTACTATTTATTTGATTATTATTATTATTATTGTTGTTGTTGTTGTTGTTGTTATTATTGGTGATTCTTCTGTAGAATCTCTACCAATACCAGATGAGCTAAACGTGGTATTTTGATTAAAATTATAGATCTCTTATTATCAGCTCTAAATTCTAAACCAACTAGAAGTTTAGATGATGTAATTAATTTATTGATTGATCAAAGGTTTTTTAGTATTAGCTAAATTACTTGTCCAAGATTTATAGATTAAAATAATAGACCTAGATTTAGAGAATGAAATTTCATGTTTGAGGCCAATAGGTTTGTTTTTATTAAGATCCATTTGTTTGGTAGGTTGCAAAATTCTTTTACTATTCAAACTTAAAGCATTTATTATTCTAAAATGAATCATATAGATCAAGAATATAATTTGTGATCGTGAGAGAAAATCACATCCATAAAACTTTAATTGTAATGTAACAAATTTAAATAGGTTTATATAACACAATAATAACCTTATGTATGAAAAGATATAAAAATATACTGGACCGTGATATAAAATAACTTTCATAATTGTCATAAGGGACTGTGCCCAATTTAAATATCTACAATCTCTTAAGACCATAAAGGTGGATGCATTTAATCATTTAAGGGTCATTCATTTAAAAGCTATTTGTATTAACCTAATAAGAATGCATTTATATTCTTTTTAAACATGTATAAATTTATTTGAGCTAATAATGGAATATTCTTTTCTATTTCTTGTATGGTTATCAATTGTTCTATAGTTTTATATAAAGTATAAAGCTAATTGTATTAGTCTTATAAAAATGCATTTACAATCTTGTTTAAGGATATACAAATCATCCTAAGCTAATAATGGGATATTATTTTTTATTTCTTGTATGGTTATCAATTGTTCAATAATTTTATAGAAGGTTTGTCTTTTGAAATTAATGATTCATATGATCATCTATTTAACTCGTCTTCATAAAGAGGATATTGAACTAACTTTATATTTTTCATATTCTTCATTGACAAAAATCTATTATCTTATATAAGCTATTATTCTGAGTAGAAGCCATAACAGAGTAGTTGCAATTGCAAATGAATGCATGTAACAACATTAATTGAACAATTCAAGTGAGAAGATAAGCCATGTAAGTATCAAAAAACTCATATGACAATCAACATGAATCAAGGGCTTACCATCCATAATCATTAGGTTAAGGCTAATGCAACAAAGTCACAATTATTTATTACAACTTATGCATAAATTATGATATGACAAAAGTTTGAACAATCTAAATTATGATAAGAGTAAAAATCTTCATATTTAATTTATTGATTTTCTTATAAACTATTCTCATGCTACATCAAGAAAAAAAAAAGATTTAGTATGAATAGTAGAATGACATTTAAGATAGGAAAAAAATATATATCATTTAAATTATTAATTTTTAATGGCATTTTTTGGGTTCATTATATATACTATTATAACTATTAATTTCAAACAAATTAATATAATATCTCAAAATTCATATAGCTTACATATAAAATTAAGTTATTTTATTTTATTTATTTATTTATAAAAGAAGTTTGTATTGTAGCTTTTAAAATCTATGAAAAATTAAACCTAAATGTAGCAGTCATGAAGCAAATGCCATGCCAGCGCTTGTTGGTCGACGGGGCACATCAGCTCAGCTTAGTCCTTTGGAATAATTCTTTAACGTTTTTTTATTTATATTCTTTTTAAACAAATTGTTTTTTTAAATCAGATCTCCAACCAGGAATATAAGATAGATTGTCTTAAATTATAAAATATATGAATCAAACAAAGACAGTTTACGGTAATTAAATATATATAAATCATAAATTGCCATTATAAAATTTAATAAACTATGATATTTATTTTAAATTCCAGCAATTCTATTTGTGCAATCTGACCGGGATGATGCCAGAAGTAAACCGGTTGGGTTTCCTCGGCCCATTCAACCAATCCCGCGTGCTACATAGTCCGCTACAAAGCTTAGGATTATTTGGGGCAGCTTATAAGTTTTTAGGATAAACAGTTTATCCTAAAATGCTGTCTACGAGTCGACCTCCAACCTATTTTTAATATAAAAAACTTAAATGCGAGAGACAATATTTAAACTGCCGACATAGTCCGCTACAAAGCTTAGGATTATTTGGGGCGGCTTATAAGTTTTCAGGATAAACAGTTTATCTTAAAATGTTGCCTACGAGTCGACCTTCAACCTATTTTTAATATAAAAAATTTAAATGCCACAGACAATATTTAAGCTGCCTCACTTATCAGCTGCCCCCACCGTCAATATACTGCCAACTTTGCGGTTCACACAAAACTTTTTACTCCATTTCCCAGCTGCTTTTTCCCGAAATACAGTGAGATGAACGATGTTCATTTTCAACGGAGTCACAAAAAGATCCAAATTTGCCAACGGTCAAAAACAATATATTGCAATTGGAATATTATAGAAGGTTTTCATGAATGCAAATGTAAGTGGGGCTTTTGTGTAAATGTCCCTTCTTCTTTCGGAAGGCCTCTTTTGTCTTCTCTCCTTCTCACAGTGGCGCATAACACTGGCTCCAAATTTCCCAACTAAAACTACTTTTCATCGCTCATCTCTATCTCTTTCCACAGCCGTTGTACTGGTTTCGATTCTTCTCTTCGATCGTCAACATTTTTGCTCGATTACCCTCACCATTTCTTATCCTATAAAACTAACAGACCAGGCATTTCCCATTCCACTGATCGATTACTTAGGGTTTTTAGTGTCGCCTTGTTTTACTTCGGTGGTGGTGTATTTTCGGGTGCGGCGGTTGAGGTTTAGGGTTTTCTCGATGGAGGAGGATTCTAAGACAAAGGGATTAGAGAGCTTGTTAGCGGCTCGCAGATCTCTTCAAGCAAGCCTTGATCGGTCTCGTGCACTGGCTTCAGCTCTCGAACGTGCTGGCCCCCGCATCGATGAGATCCAGCAGCGTCTCCCCTCCTTGGAGGCTGCAGTCCGGCCGATCCGCGCTCGCCGCGAGGCTCTAGCGTCCGCAGCAGGCCATATCGACCGTGCCGTTGGCCCTGCCGCCGCGGTCCTCAAAGTCTTTGACGCAGTTCATGGCCTCGAGCATTCTCTCCTCGCAGACCCCGGCACAGACCTTCCTTCCTACCTTTCCCTCCTCCAACGCCTCGAGGAAGCCCTCCGCTTCCTCTCTGACAATTGTAGCCTTGCCGTCCAGTGGCTTGACGACATTGTGGACTATCTTTCGGACCATTTATTAGCCGACTCCCGCTTCATCTCTCTCCTCAAGTCATCCCTCGAGTCACTCAAGTCCTCTTCCGCACCACTTGATGGCGGCCTTCTTATTGCCGCCTTAGACAGGCTGGAGGGAGAGTTTCGCCGCCTCTTGGTTGATCACTCCTTCCCCATCCCCATGACCACTTCGGGCGATGAGAATGCCATCGCTCCGTCTCCTCTTCCCGTGCAGGTCATTGCCAAGCTCCAGGCAATCCTCGAGCGGATGAAAGCAAATAGTCGTCTTAACCGATGTGTCGCGATCTATGTCGAGGTCCGTGTCTCCAATGTCCAAGCCAGCCTCCGTGCCCTCAACCTAGACTACCTGGAGATTACTCAGACAGAATTTGATCACGTGCAGAGCATCCAGGCAGACATTGAGAAATGGGGGCGTCATCTGGAATTTTCAGTGAAACATCTCTTTGAGGCGGAGTACAAGCTCTGTGCTGATGTGCTGGAGCGGGCTGGGCCACCGGAATTGTGGACAGGATGCTTTGGAGAGATTGCAGCACAGACAGGTATTCTAGCCTTCCTCCGGTTTGGGAGGACAGTTACTGAGAGCAAGAAGGATCCTATTAAGCTGCTTAAGCTGCTTGACATATTCAACTCTTTGAACAAGCTAAGATTGGATTTTAATCGGCTATTTGGTGGTAAAGCTTGTGCTGACATCCAGAATCAAACAAGGGATCTAATAAAGAGGGTGATCAATGGTGCCTGCGAGATTTTTGGGGAGCTTTTGGTTCAGGTGGAGTTGCAGAGAACAAACCCACCGCCATCTGATGGTGGTGTACCGAGGCTAGTTAGCTTCATTACAAATTACTGTAACACCCTTCTTGGGGAGGATTATCGTCCCATTCTTACTCTTGTTCTGGTCATACAAAGAAGCTGGGAGCAGAAGAAATTCCAGGACAGTCTCCTCGTTGATGCCATCCTGAATATAATGAAGGCCGTTGAAGCCAACTTTGAGAACTGGTCCAAACTTTATGAGGATGCTACGCTTTCAAATCTTTTCATGATGAATACCCACTGGCATTTCTTTAAGAACTTGAAGGGCACCAAGCTTGGTGAGCTTTTGGGCGATACATGGCTAAGGGAACATGAACAGTACAAGGACTATTATGCTAATTTCTTTTTTAGGGAGAGCTGGGGGAAGCTCCCCTCATTGTTAAGCAGGGATGGTTTGATTCTTTTATCTGGAGGAGGAAGGGCTACTGCTAGGGATCTGGTGAAGAAGAGATTGAAAGCTTTTAATGAAATGTTTGATGACATGTATCAGAAGCAGTCCAGTTGGGTTATTTCTGATAATGATTTGAGGGTGAAAACATGCCAGGTGATTATTCAGGCCATAGTTCCCATTTATCGTAGCTATATGCAGAACTATGGCCCTCTGGTAGAACAAGATGCCAGTGCAAGTAAATATGTTAAATACACTGTAGAGGGAGTGGAGAAAATGCTAGGATCTCTCTTTCAGCTTAGACTTGAGAGGTCTATGAGCTTAAAGCCTAGACAAACAAATGGAAAAGTTAGTCCTGCCATGATAAACAAATGTCACACTATGCCAACCGTTATGTGAGGATGATTCATCCCCTGATTTCCTTAAAGGGGATGAAACATACATTTCTTGTATATACTCTGGTTCCGAATTGGAATCGGAGAGCTATCCCACAATTTTGTTGCAGTAATGAGTGCATATTTCTACTGATAAGCTGATGAAGATAAATTATATTTTTGGATCCCAAGTAGTTTATGATGGAGTCACCTAATTGGAGAATACCAGCCATCCCACTAAAAGATACGACCTCTCATACTTGGACTCAGGATACTGGTGCGTACCCAATCTTCTTATGTTTGCAATTACGGGTGATGGGTCCTGGCACATTTCCTGTAGTGGGTTAAGTGCCGTGTTTTTTAGTTATCGTTTCTCCTCTAAATATGTCAACTTTTTTTTTAAGTTACTAATCATTCATTATTGGACTGTTAGGATGAGGAAGTAAAAAATATATTTAAGATATATTTAGTAAATATATTAATTAAGAATCCCAGTGCATCAATGTTCTGTCGTTATCACAGTGCATTCTAATCTGCTTTGTTTTCTTGCGTGCTTATTTCAGGTGGCATGGTTGTTTCTTTCTCATGTAGTTTTATTTGAGTTCTGTATGAGACATTTGGCCACTACAACCCAGACAGTCTAGTCACATCTAGATTGGTTTTTGCTACAGAAAAGTAAATTTGCTTCACGTCTATTTTATGAAAAATGATAAGTGTTCAAAGCTCTAGTAAAAAGCATATGATAGTTTTTTAAGTGAAGTGAACAATGCATTCTTCAGCTGTTCTGTGATTGAGCTATGTTTGTTGGAGTGTTTGGGTGAATCCTTCCCCCCATTTTATTTCAGTCTTAACTAGTTTGGCGTTTATTTTGGTTTTGTTTGAAGCAGGATTTTCACTATATTTCTTTTCACCATATAACTTCCATAGTACTATGTAGTCATTTTTAAGGTTAAATTTAGCTTTTTAAAACTGGGTTTGCTTGAGTTTAGAAAGCAAGCAAAGTCATTTTGAGCTAAATCTATTAATATTGAGGAAATCATCCTTAAGTCAAAGCTGATTAACTTTAAATTTTAGCCGATTAAAATTCAGGCAGTTGTTAGATGAGTTTCGAACAATGTTACCCGCTCTCTTTTTCTCGTTATACATGCATACATATATATATACATATATATATATATATTCAAAAGGAATGGCCGGAGGCTATGAAACGAGCCCCGGCCATCCCTCATGCGTCCTGAGGAGACTTACAACTAACAAGAAGATGCTCAACCAATTGATCTTAGTACACGCTCAACTAACAAGAAGATGCTCAACCAATTGATCTTAGCACACGACACGCACACACACGCACACACACACACGCACACACACGCACACACACATATATATACTTTAAAAGGAATGGTCTGAGACTATTATATGAGCATGGGTCATCCTCAATGCTCTTAATAATTCGAGCACCACACCTCAAACCCTAGACCATAGGGGACTTACAACTGACAAACAGATGTCTAACCAACTGATCTGAGTACGCGGCACATATACACACACAGACACACAGACACACAGACACAGATATATATATATATATATACTAAAAAATTTCAAAGGCTAATATATTAAATAGTATGTATGTATTTATTTATATTTATATTTATATGTATGAGGTGACTTATGAGTAGTACTCTTTGAAGTCCGTATCATCGTCATCATTGAACTTATCATTATTTGGGGCCAGTGTCATCACTTTTTCATTTCCTTGTATTCCCGTTTGGTGTTGCATGAGATGTTAACGTATCTTGTGAAAACTTTTTGAACTTTTATCTATGATTTATTAGGTCTATCTTTCTTACCTTCTAATATGTCAACACTAATTATTTGCTATATTTTTTTTGTTAAGGATTAAAAGTATATGCTGCATCTCTACCACAAATGGATCAGAAGATGGGCAGGCGGGCTATGTTATGATGGTCCCTCTTACTGCTAAAGATTCCTAGAGTCAACATCCCAACTCTTGCTAATTAGTAGAAGAACTAGACGCTAGGAGAAGCCATCACTTACTGTAAGAATGATTGTCTGCCAAAAAATAATCCTCGTGTCCAGTATAAGCTTTTAAACTCAACACAAATTACCAAGTAAAAAAAATGATGAGGAGAACCCACCTTTAAGAAAAGCAAGAAGTTCTTAAGCAAATAGGAAAAAAAAAGGTGGAGGAGAGGTACATTCAGAGTTCATATGCTAGTAGATATCTAGTTTTCTGGCTAGATGGAGGCTAAAGGAAATTCAAGCAGCCCACAATCAAGATCAAGTTGGAGAGATGGATATTCCCGTTGTTAGTCTTCTAGTGTTCATAAGTTAAGTATGGACCTTTCCATTTGCATTAAAACTCATGCATGAATAATATTGTTTGAATTTATAAATTTGATTTGACGATCTTATCTACGCTGATTTTAGAAGAAATTTTCTTATAAATGATTGCATATATGTTCATTTCCCTGGGTTTTGTTTTGAAGGTCAAATGTATGTATGATGATGATGAGGATGACTATATATAAATGATCAGGGTTCCTGATAATATATATATTTTCTTATTTGCCATTGGGGTCAATGGATTGAATTTGTTGCATGGAGCTTTGTATGCCCTTCGATTATACATGGAGCTTGCTTGGGGTCAGTCCAGTTTTGTCATGTATCCTTTGCTATTTGTCATTTTATCAAGTTAGAGAATAGCATGGCTGATACCTTTTGCGCGTGTGTGAGTTAGGACGGAGCAGGTGAATGTAAAGTAGCGAGCTCAACGGTTTTCACTTGATTTCATCTAGAAGGCAAGAATCCTTTTATTGTCACGCTACTTTTGAATGATCTAGATTTGCATGGGATATATTTACGAACTTTCAATGTCACAGAATGTTTCATCATATTGCACCCAAATGCATGCTCAATCCTAAATAATTTATTTTCATGATTCCGTTATATGAAGTGGATGCCTCGAATGCAATGAACTTATGATTTATACTTTGTTGTGCCATATGAAATATTATCAACTTGCAGTCTGAATGAAAAAGAAAGGCTACTTGTTGCTAAATATATGCAAATCTTGGCTGTAAGGTGTCATGTTAAATTGATAGATTGGTGAATAGTCCCGTCCCAGGCGAATTCGAGGAGATTGCCCAAAATTGTGAAAGGCTAAGTCAGTTTGCTCCTTTTAATTTGGAGAAGTGACTGATTTGCCATCATTCATGTATATTGATTCTTCCAGTGATTGCTTACTTACCATTGACTGTTATTTATGTGAGTTTTTTTCCAATGTGAGCAAGTGGAAATATATGGAATGAAAACTCTGGTTCAGAGTTGTTGGATTATTTGAGGCGAATGCCAAAGTATATAGTCGTTTCTACATAGAGATGTCTTGTTATAGTGTTGGTGGATCTTGTGTATGATACAATTGAAGTGTTGAACTTGTATATTCCCTTGCAAGATATCCCATTTTTCAATGGAAAAAAGAGTTTTTGATAGTTTGGAAGGTATTATGAAATTCTTAATTTGTTCAATTTATAAAAGTTTATTTTTCTGAAATAAAATGAGTTGGGTATTTTCAATCTTTTTGGTGAAGCATTGTTGCTTATTCTGTCTAAATGTGATGATTTTGAATATGAACATAAAACTTAATATTTGTCATTCGGTTAATATGTAACATAACTAGATGATACGTTCAGGAATTATAGACAAAATAATTAGAAAGTATTTGAATATTATGCAAAGTTTACAAATTTTATATTACATATTGTTTTTCTTTAGGCTTCTATGTTTATGTTATTGTTGTATGTTTTTTATTGGCGTTAGCTATTTGTCCTGCCCAGAAATAAGGGAGCAGAGCATATTGTGATGTTCCTATAGTTATTGCTAATGTTGATATCATTCCTTCTTTCAAAAAGAGAGAGATTGGTATCGGATGGTGGTGGTCTACATGATGTCCTTTCATTTTTTTATTTTTTTTTTGGGAAAGGCTCTCTCTCTCATTTTTTGGCTCTATTCCTTAGAGTGTAATTCATAGACAAATCAGATTTGAAGATTGTAAAAGATTTGGTGAGCATGGATCATACCACAGAAAAGAAGAGGAGCAATCTATGGAAAAGGAAAACACAATAAAAACATCAATAACATGGACTGCATCAGGGGTTTGTGAACCAATAGATCTAGGAGTTGAAGGATCATTGTTAGATGTCATCCAAAAGACACTAGCTTGGTGAAGAATCTTCAAATGGTTGTATGTCTATTGAGGATCACAAACGTGTTGAAATGTCTTGTCTATTTTACCACACTATTAGTGTCGGCCCTTAGGTAGTCGATGCATTGCCACCAGGAGTGATCTTATTTTTTGTATATTTTAAGAGGATATTTGTGGCATACTTTGCTAGAGTCCAAAAACTTAGGAGAGCTCGAGGCCCTCTTATAGATCTGGTGTGTACAGAATGAGAGCCTTTGTTTGTTTATTACATGCTTCCAAAAAGAGATGCAAGAAATATGGGACCTTGAGCATGCAATAGCTCAGGTCGCCCTAGCTAAAGCGTTGAAGGAAGGAATCCTCTAATTTGTTACATGTCTACAACGACCAAAGTCACCAGTTAATTTATTGGAGATGGTCAACAATCACATATCAACTAAGGACTATAACTCTACCATCGGTTCCTCTAGAGCAAAGTCCTCCACCAATTGTCGTAGAAGAGGGCCGCCCAAGACGACAGGTGAAGACTGAGAGATGATTCACATCCTTCTCCCCATCAATGATAAGAAGACACTTGGTATGCCCGGGATCACAACATGGCCAACAAAACGTACAATCGAGAGTGTTATGCTCAATATCCTGACCAATGATCGGCTTGGTACAATAAGCGCCTAATGCCCAATCATGAATTACCCAAGATGACTCCGTTGAGGGTTTCAATGGTCAAGATAATGGAAACCATCCAAAAAAAAAAATACTTCAAGAGAGAACCTCAAATGAAAATCAGAGCTTACCTTTAAGACCCCAAGAAAAAATGTGCCCACCATTACGATCATGACCATAACATGGAGGAATGTTGATATTTCCAAAGCCTAGTCAAGGAGCTGATCAAGGTCGAAAGCTGAAGGAGTTTGTTGCTCCAGGGAAAGCTTCGACGGAGAAAATTCTGGATAAACCAGTCCAATCCCCCACCATCCACATAGCTGTCATAGTTCCTACCTTCTTTTGATGAGGTTGAGACTCATTCTGCCAAGCCATCTTGAATAGGCTTTGGTCAAGATATCTATGCGCAGCCACTCTCACTCTCAAACGTAGCTCATAATCCCATCTCGTTCATAAATTAAGATCCGTCCCCTAAAGGGAACACCTACAATGACATCATCATCATCAACATGTTGATTAGTAACTACCAAACTGGTAGCACCCTTATCAACCAATTTGATAAGGATGTTATGAGATGAGCCTAAGAGATGTCATGCATGGGGGCACTATGTATGGTATGAGAACTGTGCGGGTGTGCTATGTGCGCGATGTGGGGGTGCTAAGGCACATAAATGCACGACGCGAGTATTTGTTGACCTCATTTTTTGTTGAGGTCCAGTTTTTCTTCTTCAGTAGCCTAGGGTCTAGCCATAAGACTTTTTTATTGACTATTCCTAGAGAACTAGAAAAAGAACCCTCACCATTAGAAATTTCAAACTATGCTTTGCTCAGCTTGGAGTTCCACATGTGGTCCTAACCTCTTGCACTTAGTAGGTGGGGTCAGTATGAGGGAACCCAAGTGGAATCCCCCATAGGATGGTCAAACCATAGGACCCCTTAGGTTGGTCTCTTGACTCCTTTTGGAAAGCTCATGTAGATGACCCTGTACCCCTAGTCTTTGGCTAAGAGGGTTAGAACCAGCACATTGAGCATCCAAAATGATTCCTCATATTGTTCATATTGGTTTAGTATGGCTTCATGGCTTGTTGGCCCATTTTGGCTTAAAATTACCAAATTACCAAAATACCCCTCCAACCATAATTTTTCAGAGGTTACCCAAAATACCTAAATTTGCCCAAAAATCATCTCAAACCCCTCACCATTACCTAAATTGAAACCCCTCACCATCATCTCAAAC